CTAGGGATCTTCTTCCATAATCTATTAGATCTGACCAAAAATGGAGTATTCCTGCCACATCTAAGCTGGAGCAGCGCGATTCTAAATTCCCCGCCTCGACAGAGTTCAAAATCGTCTAATCGGCCTTGTAGGTGATGAATTATTTTCTACTTTACATTCCTTTACCATAGACGAAACGTCGCAAAACTCTCGTTACTCCATCGCTATTTCCTTGTCAAATTTTCTAATCTACATTCCTTAGTTCTAGATGTTCAGTCCTTCACAAGACCTGTCATGCCTCATACAGTGGGTTGGATCATCCTTATTGATTTTGTGTTCCATTAGTAAGGAAGAAGTTCCATTCATACATCTTTTTACCAAGAACAGATAATTTGTGAAATAGAGCTTCTCTGATCGCACAAGCTTAACCTCCTTAAGTCTAGGCTCAAACTTTTACTTCTATACATATCCTAATAATCTGGATTTCTAACTTACTCCTCCTATGTTTATATAACAACCGCATTTATTAATCTTGTAGCTTGAGTTGTTCTTGGGCCTTGCACTAGGTGAGGTATTAATTAAAAAAAATATGACCCGTATCGAGATCGACACTAAATTTTCTAAGCGAAACATGGAGCCTGAAATCTCGACTTGTACACGCTTATATCCGATATCCAGATTTCAATGGCGAAAGAGTTAAAGCAGTTAATCGTCTGCTTCTTCCCAATCAAAATGAAATTCTGTTTGTTAATCGATAGACATCCACTCGGTTATTTTTCTGTATCGTATTTCGCTTTCAGTTCAAATTGAGATGAAAATGTCAAGAAGGTTAGACAATCCCTGTTGTCTCACAAATACAGGACAAATTAATCAGCGGAAAAAAATATTATAATTCAGCGACAGGTTTAACTAGAGAGCGCGCCACCCCTTGGAGTAACAGTTAACAAACTAATTTTTCAAGACAGAAAGATTAATTTGTTCCTTAATGAGTGTCCTGCACATCATCTTATCCTAGACAATTCAACAACCGTGTAACAATTGGGCAGCCAGGCCAATGAATTAAATGAGTAAATTATTTATTTGCTTTGTTGTTGTTAGACAACGTTTCGGCCTTCATCAGGTCTATATCGATCTGGGTAACCTACTGGGATTTCTGAACCCAATCCTCTATTTAATCTACGGAAAATGTTTAACCTTTCTGTCCGTATGTAGGGATATTGCTTTTTTTTTTTTGTTTTTTTTTTCTTACTTTTAATACAGTTCAGCTATCGCTCATATATTTCCACTGAATACAAGCAAACATTTCCCAGCCCAGGGATTGCGCTTATAATTACTACGCTACCAAATTTACGAAACAACTCTTTAATACATTAGGCTATTGTCCCGTAGGACAATTCTCTGCAGTGAACTTGGAGTCATCAACCGAACCTGCTGATTAGTGCTGGTACTGCTACTGTTACTGTTGCTGCCTGTGATATTTTCGCTGCTGGTGACGCAGAAAGTGTTAGTTCAATCCTTGGGCCGGGCAGTGATAGCAACACCAAAGAAGAGGACAATAGTTCAGATGTAAATAGTGTCAATAATAATAAAAACTCACCTCAGAAATTCCGAACAAAAATGACGAAATTTTTTACGATCTAAAGTTTAGAGTGTTTTTTCACTGCTCTGCAAATTTTGTAACCAGTATTTTATACTACCATCTTTTATCGCAATTCACATATAATAAAGAAAAGGAATTTGTGATGAAGACAACGGGAAACTACTCCATTATCTTTCCCAAGAAGTCATGGTAATTCACATATAATAAAGAAAAGGAATCTATGGAAAAAGCAATAGGAAACTACTCCATTATCTTTCCCACGAAGTTATTATAATTCACATATAATAAAGAATAGGAATCTGTGGAAAAGGCAACGGGAAACTACTCCATTATCTTTCCCAATAAATCATGGTAATTTACATATAATAATAAAAGGAATCTGCGGAAAAGGCAATGTGAAACTACTCCACTATCTTTCTCAAGAAGTCATGATAATTCACATATAATAAAGAAAAGGAATCTCTGGAAAAGGCAATGTGATGCTACTCCACTATCTTTCCCAAGAAAGCATCGCAAATCACAGATAATAACGAATATGAATCTGTAAAGAAAACAACGGGAATCAGCATGAGATAACAGCATAGATAATGTTAGTTCTTTTGTTTTAATCATTCGATTCGACCCGTGAGTATCAGATTCTTCAGGCTTTCCTTTCTGGGACACATAATGAGGAAGGAAGGCCTGGCGAATCTGACACTCACGGGTCGAATAGAAGGAAAGAGAGTCAAGGGAAAACAACGCATGACATACCTAGCAGCCTTAAGCAAGTGGATGACAGAACATAGTCTGGGGGAGGAAGCAGAGGGAAGGAACTTGTTGAGAGCTGCAAAGGATAGAGGGAGGTGGAGAGCCATGATCGCCTACGTCCCGAAATGACATGGCACATAAAAAGGAAAAGAAAAGAAGAAATGCGATTGAAGAGGGTACGCCAGGGTAGGACTGACACCACTGTATATTCTTCTTTGGACGTTGTCAAGATGTCTCTAGACAGACAGCAGACGCGTCATACCAGATGTGGCAACAATATTCAACACACGGACGATTAAAGATTGATAGAAGACAGACGAGAATAATTTTCTAGCACGACACTGAATTAACTTTCCTAACAGCAATTTACGATATAATCGTTCCAATTCATATCATTTACAGGTAGAAGGCGCAAGGAATTACTCTCCAGCAGGTTAGCATCAGTTATTTATCTATGCAGTGATTGTAATATGAGTAAGAGGCTTGTTTTACTGTAAATATTGTCTTTGCCGTCATCAGGCGATAATGATTTACGCAAATGTATCCCTTTTCTCGCCTCTTCCTGGTATAAAATTTGTATAACCCTCTACCTTTACATGAGCCAAATCAGGCCTAAAATGGATTACTGCTGTCATATTTTGACGGGAGCTGCCCAGGTCCTCATTCTCCAATCTTGATAGAGTCCATAAGTATCTACGAGCCCTTGTGGGTGAGAAATTATTTTCCACCCCCGAACTTCTCTCTCACAGGCGGGATGTGGCAAACCCCTCACTGCTCTATCGTTATTTCCATAGAAAGTTCAAGGACGAACTACATCCCTTGGCTCCACCAATTCTAACCTTCACGGCCAGGGCCAGCCATACCATTCAGAATGTAGCAAACCACGCAGATTCCCGCCGTATTCCATCGGTGAGAAGTTCCATTCGAACAGCTTCTTTCCACGAACCACTTCTCTGCGGAACCAGCTCCCAAGAGTATACTTCCCCGATTATTACAATCTCATCTTATTCAACTTTAGGGTTAACCGTTATCTTCCTATCCGTATAAACTGCCTGTTAATGTAACCCTTTACCTCAAGTAGCCCCCGAAGCCTGTACAGGGTGAACCTTACTGAAAAAAAAATAACACGCGTAGTTGCTGGTTAGAAAGACTGTAAGGAAAAGAATGGAAAAAGTATTGAGTGACGAAGGGTTTAATCAAAGGAGATGAGAATATAGCAGTTCAGTACGACTGAAAGCGTTACGACTCAGCAACCTACTTTTTGCCACTGTCCAATGAGCAGGGGTTCTCAACTCATAGTGGATGGACGAGTCCATATTTAAATAATAGTGTAGAGAAGGTTAGACAGTCTTTCTGCACAAAACTTTCCTATAAGACATCATGGTATAATACTAGCAAGTCATTTTAACAACTGGGCACCTCGAGGTTGTGTAATGGTTAGCAAGCTTGTCTCGACTTACGACTGAGTAGTGAGTTCGATCCTCACTGGGTGCCTCATACTTTCGGCCTGGAAAATCACTTTGGGCACCTTGACGTGGTGTAATGGTTAGAAAGCTTGTCTTGCTATTGGTTAGAAAGCTTGTCTTGCTAGATCAAATACGACTGAGTAGTGAGTTCGATCCTCACTGGGTGCCCCATACTTTCGGCCTTGTGCCACATCTAAGCCGGGCTTAGAAAATCACTAGGGCACCTCGGCGTGGTGTAATGGTTAGCAAGCTTGTCTCGCTAGATCAGTTACTACTGAAAAGTGAATTCGATCCTCACTGGGTACCCTATACTTTCGGCCTTGTGCCACATCTAAGCTACGCTTGGAAAATCTCTGGGCACCTCGGCGTGGTGTAATGGTTAGTTAGCTTGTCTTGCTAGGTCAGTTACTACTGAAAAGTGAGTTCGATCCTCACTGAGTTCTCCATACTTCCAGCCTTGTGCCACATCTAAGCATCGCTTAGAAAATCATTTGGAGTCAGTCAGTCACTCAAGTCTTGACCGGCTGTTCGGTTGAACTCTTGCCTTCGGGCGGAGAGGAACCCGAACGAGGCTACGCCGAAGGGCGGATTCTCTTTCGGGGAGGTAAACCGCCCCTGAACCCGTTTATACGGGTTCAATGGGCATATTTTTGGCCGAGCCCACGGGCTCGGAGATCCCACGTTAAACCGGCCTTGTGCCACATGATGCCCACGTGGGGGGGTGACTAAATATAGTCATTTTAACAACTCGTGATGGGGCTCAAAATAGGGACAAATCGTTTCATGCCTTTTACAAGGAAACAGTAAGAAATCAGCCAGTTCTGTGGAAACTCAAACAAGATTCAACGCTTTCGTATTCTTGATTGACAAATCATGAATCTGCCTCTATATCAATCTCTTTCTCTCTCTCCCTCCTTCTTCTCTTTCTTTCTATCTCTCTCTTTCATTCTCGTTCTCTTTCCTTCTCGCTATATGTTTCTCTGTTTCTCTATTTCTCCCGCTCTTTCTCTCTGTAAATCTCTTTTCATCTCTCTTTATATCAGTCTATGTCGCTCTCCTTTTCCATACCACTATGTATCTTCTTTTCTCTTTCTTTCTCTATTTCATTATTTTCCTATCTCTCTATTTCTCTTTCTATAGCTCCTCCCCCATTTCTCTGTCACTCTCTTTTCTGTTTTTTCTATATTTCTCTATATCTCTCTTTTTAGTTTTATATATCTCTCTCTTTCCTTCTCACTCTATATCTCTCGCGTTCTCTATCATTCTTTTTCTCTTTCTCTATTTTTCACTGTTTTTCTCCCTATCTTTATTTTTTTCTCTTTCTCTGCCTACTTCTTTCACTTCCTCTTCCTCTGCCTCTTTCTTTCTCTATTTCTCTCTTTTTTTATCTCTCTCTTTCTCCATTTCTATCTTTCTTGTACCCGTCTTTCTCTATTCACTTACCTTTTATCTTTTTTTTTTCTCTATTTCTCTTTCTCTCGCTCCCTATCATTTTTTATCCACCTCTCTCTCTCTCTCTCTCTCTCTCTCTTTTTCCCCTTTTCTTTTTTTTTTTTTTTTTTTTCTTTCTTTCTTTCTTTCTTTCTTTCTTTCTTTCTTTGTGTCTATTTCTCTTTATCTCTCTCTCTTTCTCCTTCTTTTCCTCCATAATCTCTGTCTTCATGGCCGTCTCTCCTACTGGCCCGTGCTTTATTAACGATAACCGTCGAACATATTTGCTATCAATGGCTATCATCAAAAACTATCTTTTATCTTCTGCTCATTCGACTCGAACTGATCGTATTTGGAGCTTTTTTTCGCTACACTTTATACTGTAAAGTCACACACCGCCGCCATTGCCAGAATCTCCTCTGTGCTAATCTAAACAGGGCAGTCATAGAGGACGCTTCCCATAGAGCAATATTTAAAAATACGTCACGTTTGTCATTTTAAATTGAGTGGATAATTTGTTGTTTTTTTTTTAAAAGCTTATCAATCTTTTGCAAGTTTTTTAAAGTCAGAAAATATTTTTGAATTTATATACCAGTGAATGCAGTAAAATCGCCCGTGTACTGAATACTGCTGCCACACGCGGTCTGGTTCACCTGCTAATCATCTCGAGGTTCTTGACAAAATCCAAAGAAGAATCTGCAAGGCAATCGATCCTGACTTGGCATCTCAACTTCAGTCACTTTCTCACAGACGTGACGTGACTTCACTCTGTTTTTTTTCTACAAATATTTTCCTTTAACGAGCTTTTTTTTCCTGGTGCCCCGACTAAAATGAATTTAAGCGTACTACAAGATTGGCATCTAGACCCCACCCGTTTAGTGTTTAAAATAGTTAAATGCAACCGCCACTATTTATTTTCTCGTACGTCCTGCCCGTGGAACTCCCTTCCGTTGACTTGCTTCCCTGAAAACTATAATCTTCAAAAATTTAAATACAACGTCAATCGTCATCTTCTATCTTCTTGAATCCCTTTCATCTCTTAACCTTCCCTCAATCCTCCCTATGATCAGTCTTTTCCCTCATTTTCATTCCGTGTAACCTCCTGCGCACTGATGGTATTCACGCCTTGCTTGGTGCGAAATAATTTTAAAAAAATATCTTCACAGATGAAGAAGAGACTTAACGCAACAGAAATGTGGTTCTACAGAAAGATGCTGATGGAAATGAGCAACGACGAAGTTTTAGAGACAATGGCATAGAAAAGGATACTTATACTTAGAATCAGAAAGAGAGAGAGTTAAATTCTTTAGGACACATAATGAGGAAAATGGGCTTGGAAACTCTAATACTCACAGGGCAGACTGAAGGCAAGAGGGTCAGAGGAAAACAATGCATATCCTACTTAGTGAACTTGAGTAAATGGATAGCAACACAGGGCTTAGGATAGATAATTAAAATACAATTTTTTTAAAAGCAACAAAGGAGAGGGAATTGATCGCGAACATTCTGAATGGACACGGCATATAGTAGTAGTAGTAGTAGTAGAAGAAGAAGAAGAAGAAGGAGGAGGAGGATTTACTGATATAAGTAAACCCACAGCTGAAGAGAGAAGAGGTGGATTCATCCCTTTCCCGAGGGTATTTGCGCATAAGGGAATATAAGGAAAACGACTTTAATTCGAACTCGGCTCTCCGATTTCAATTCGAACGGTAATCAATTATACCACCGCACATTTAAGCATACTGTATTCCCAAACGGTCACCCAACTTGGTATTAATTAGTCTTGACGTTGCTTAACTTCGGTGATCTTACAAGAAACGATGTTTCAACGATATTATCCTGAGCAGTGTCATTTTTAAAGACTCATTTGTGTGTTCTTGTGCCAAACTAAAGCAAATTTACTAAATAGAGTATTACATAAATAGCGGGGTCTATATTAAGTATCTTTATATATTTTTATCTGTGCCTCTTTATTGAACTAGCGTTATCTCATTGCACTGGTGACGCCAGGTGGCAGTGTCTTTGTTAACACAGTGTCATGTTGCTTCAAGTCCTTTAAGAGGTAAGATGATCTGTATTAAGTATCTTTAGTTTGTACCTCTTTATTGAACTAGCGTTATCTCATTGCACTGGTGACGCCAGGTGGCAGTGTCTTTGTTAACACAGTGTCATGTTTCAAGTCCTTTTTATTGATGATCTGTATTAAGTATCTTTAGTTTGTACCTCTTTATTGAACTAGCGTTATTTCATTGCACTGGTGACGCCAGGTGGCAGTGTCTTTGTTAACACAGTGTCATGTTGCTTCAAGTCCTTTAAGAGGTAAGATGATCTGTATTAAGTATCTTTAGTTTGTACCTCTTTATTGAACTAGCGTTATTTCATTGCACTGGTGATGCCAGGTGGCAATGTCTTTGTTAACACAGTGCCATATTGCTCCAAGTCCTTTAGGAGGTAAGATAACTGACACCTTGAAAGTGCAATGTACAACAAAAACTATCGGAAAATATATTTAAAAACTCAAATGTGAAAAACTGCAAATAATAGTAATGACTTAAAAAAAAATAGACCCTCTTTTTTTATAGTATAGATAAACTAGTACAAATATAGGATTCCACTGGACATAAAATGACAGATGTCCTTTTAAAGGGCAGTTGCCAGGTTGATTTTGTCGGGTGTGTCGGACTTGCTACAAGGACAGGAATAAATGTCTGTGTCGTCTGTATAAATACCTATTTGGAATTGATGACATGAAGGAGATCATTGATGAAGATCAGAAAGAACATAGACCCGAGGATCCCTGGGATAGTATGAAATGATTTGGAAGCATGGCCGTTCAAGGCGACCTTCATTATACGATTTGTTGGGAACGATTAGATTAAGCCAAATATTAATTCCGTAAAGCCGTAGCCATTGAGTATATGCAAAATACATCTCGGAGGCTTGTTATAACGAAAGTGATTTATGAACACAGAAACATAAAGTTACATCTGCATCTTCATTAAAAATAAATTTGGCGCGAAATTCGATCATTTTATTCGGCGAATGTTTCGCAATTATTTTATAATGCTATTTTTACATTTTTTATTTCATTTTGATGATTATTTGTCTTGCATAATGTCATCATCAAAAAGAAAAGATAAAATCTGAAGGAAGCTAGCTAATATAAATTAATCTGAATTCGAAAAGAGAATGCAATTTAAATTAAGGTCTAATTATCGCATTTATAGCGCAGAACATCTGACGTTAGTTTGCCGATTTCATTTTTTCTTTCATTTTCGATTTGCTTCTTGTTTCGTTTCCTTTATTTTTTAATGACTAATTTATTCGGATTCTTTCGGAAAATATCGGAAAATTATTCCAAGGCTTTCTGTTTCTCTTGAAAATTAACGCTTAATTGCCAAGAGTTTAAAAAGATTTTTTTTTATGTCTAATGTCGAATGATTCTACAAAGATACTTCCTTTGTCTTCATCGTATTTACTCTGTGAATATAAATCTAAATTTATGTCTTAAAATCTTCTATTAGGGTACTGTTTTATACTTAGCTTTAAATTAATTACACCTCGTTAAATTGTAACTGCCTTCTAAACGGAGCATCAGTTTTAAAATTACCATTTTAGTATATTTTAGACAAAACATTTATACATACATATATATATATATATATATATATATATATATATATATATATATTTATCATTGTCATCATACTGCAACTTTTTTCTCTTTCTTTCCGTGAATAATTTTCCTCTCCCCTACTAGTTTCCTTTCTTTCTCTCTTTCTTATTCTCATCTCTTCTCGTATACTTATTCTATTCTTTTCCCCCCCTCTTTCTCATTGTCATCAATTAATTCTCTCTTTCGCTCAGGTTATCTTCCTTGTTTTAATGTCTATTTTCTGTCTCTTCCTTCCCACTATGTTTATTACTACTTTCTCTCTCACTCTCATCATTTAAATTCTCTTTTCGTCTTTCTGTCTCTTCTCATTTAACCCGACCTACATTTCCCTTCTCTTTACTTACTCCATAATATTCGAAGGACTCTAAACTCTACTCTTTCGTTTTTTTTGTTCTTTATTTTAATTTCCGATATCTATCTATCTATCTATCTATCTATATATATATATATATATATATATATATATATATATATATATATACTAACAAAGAAAGCACTGGACAGACATAAATTTCCATATATATATATATATATATATATATATATATATATATATATATATATATATATATATATATATATATATATATATATATATATATATATATATATATATATATATAAAAGAAAGAACAGTAAGATATATAATCCGGTGTTCTTATAGATATTTTTATTTTTACAAAATAGTGCTCAATGTAAATTTACAGAGCATTAATATTATAAATTAATTGATTTAAAATATGTTTTTCCGCTACACAGTTCTAACCATGTTTCAAAATGGAAGCTAAAAAGCCCCGAATTTTTTTTGTAATTAAATTAAAGACATTAGTTCCATTTCATTCCAAGGTTGGAAACATGGATTATGATTTTAGCTGTGTCTTTAAAACCCAGTAATTTTAAAGTTACTCCAAAATCCGCTTGAGGATGAAATGGAACTAATGTCTTTAATTTAATTACAAAAATTAAATTCAGGGCTTTTAGCTTCCTTTTTTGAAACATGGTTAGAATTGTGTAGCGGAAAAACCATATTTTAAAAATTAATTTTAATATATATATATATATATATATATATATATATATATATATATATATATATATATATATATATATTATTCTGTCATAAATAACTTATCAAAACTAATAATCATGTAGTAAGATGGCATAGGGTCTTTGAAGAGCACTTACTTCTTGTCATCCTAATATTTGGAAATTTTCAAATTGCATTACAAATGGGCAAAGGCTAACTGAATAAAAGTGAACTGTATATATGGCTAGGGAAGCGCCTAAAAGGGACATAATATCGGTTATTAGAAACCAAAGATTTAATTATTAAATTAATTAAATTATAGCGCTTAATATCAATTATTATATACCTAAATTTTATTATATATATATATATATATATATATATATATATATATATATATATATATATATATATTATTAAATTAAATCACATAATTTAAATTATTAGTAAGCCAATTTTTATTATATGAATTAAATTAAAGTGCTTAATATCAGTTATTATATACCTAAATTTTATTTTTATTTTATATATATATAATTATTTTATTAAATTAATTAAATTAGATCACATAATTTAAGTTATTAGTAAACCAAATTTTATTAGATTAATTAAATTAAAGCATATAATATCAGTTGTTATAAAACAAAATTTTAATTATTACGTCAATGAAATTATAGCACATAATATCATTTATAAGAAACCCCATGTTTTAATTATTAAATTAATTAAATTAGAGCGTATAATATCAGTTATTAGAAACTCGACTTTTAATTATTAAATTAATTAAATTAAAGCATATAGTATCAGTTATTAAAATACCAAGTTTTAATTATTACATCAATTAAATTAAAAGAGCATAATATCATTTATTATACATCCAGATTTTAATTATTAATTAAATTAAGATATATACTTTCAGTTATTATCCACTTTTAGCTTATTTCATAAATGTTGTCGATACGTTGATCAATAGAAATAGAACCTATTAATAAAGTGTTTAATTATAAACCTTTTACGGTGAACATTCGATCGAGAGCACGTTGGACCTAACGACAGTTTTCTCTGGCCAGTGGGTTACGCAGGTTCGAATCCTGCCGGAGAACGCAAATATTTGGAAAGGCTTCGGGAGTAAACCAAGAGAACAAATCCCGGACCGGACTCCTTAAGACAGTCTGATATTATGTTTCTCTTCGCTCTGGTATCTCCTGTGACGACGCTGGTGCCAAGCTTTATTACCACTGTCTTTCCTTTGAACAACATTGGTGATGGGTAGAGGGGAGCCGTGCTGAATGGGCAACCGTCGATCTCTCATTGAACCCTGCCCAGACCTGCGCCCTGGATTGAAAACTCCAGCATCATCTCATGCTGCCCTGCCATCAGCAGCTGAGGCATAAGTCTTTGATCAAAGATCCAAGGTTTCTCTAGGTTTTGTACAACTTAGAGGTCAGTAGAGATTGCCATGGGGATCACCATTATTGTTGATTTTAATCACAATTGAAATTACCTTGAATTTGAACTCTGCTCCGCGATTCCTCAACCTGAGCTACTATCCATTACTCTACCATGTGTCCACAATGGGGTAATGGATAGAATAATAATATTGCATGTTAAATGGTCATTATGTAAAATGCTTCTGATTTTAAACATCTATTGTCTTCTTCCGGCCATAAAAAAACATGAGAAGTGTCTCAGAAGTAAAACCTGAGGACAAATCAAGAGTCGGAGTTCTTAAGACAGTACAATGTTACGTTCAACTTCGTTCTGTCAATTCCTGCGATGACACCGGTGCCAAGCTGTATTGTCCACTGCCTTTCCCTTGGTCAACATTGGTGGTGTGGAGAGAGGAAACGTGCTTAGTGGGCAACTGCCGGTCTCTCATTAAACTCTAGCAAGGCCTGCGCCTTGGAGAGGAAACCCTAGCTTCATCTCATTCTGCCCTGCTATCAACATAACTCTTTGGTCGAAGATCCAAGATTTCTCTAGATTTTGTACAGCTTCGAGGTCAGTGGATATGACTATGAGGATCATCATTATTGTTGATTTTAACCACAATTGATATGACCTGGAATTTGAAATCTGCTCCCCGATTCCTCAACCTTAGCTTCTATCCATTAATCCACCATGTGTCCACAATGGAGTATTGGATAGCATAATAATAGTACATTTTAAATGGTCATTATGTAAAATGCTTCTGATTTTAAACATCTATTGTCTTCTTGCGGCCATAAACAAGCATGTGAAATGTTTCAGAAGTAAACCCTGAGGACAAATCAAAAGTCGGAGTTCCTAAGACAGTCCAATGTAACAATCAACTTCGTTCTGTCAATTCCTGCGATGACACCGGTGCCAAGCTGTATTGGCCACTGCCTCTCCCTTAATAAACATTGGTGGTGTGGAGAGAGGAAACGTGCTGAATGGACAACTGCCTTTCCCTTGGACAACATTGGTGGTGTGGAGAGGGAAGATATGCTCAATGGGCCACTGCCGGTCTCTCATTAAACTCTGCCTAGGCCTGCGTCCCGGAGAGGGCACTCCAGCATCCCTTTATGTTGCACTGCCATCAGCAGCTAAGGTGTAACTTTTTGGTCGAAGATCCAAGGTTTCTTAAGACTGACGAATACCACACACACACACACACTGTCTACTCAAATCTGAGTATCCAGTAAAAATAACGTTTAAAGTGATAAAATGCAAATTGCATATAACTTTTCATCAATAAGTGTGACATACTATATTCGGCAAATTTTGATCTGAAACTGTCACGATATAATGTCCAATCAATGTGATTATTATAATAATTATTTCCTAGAAACCTAATTTATAATTTCGGAGAGTCTGAAGACATACAAAATAAAACTGCTGAAGAGAAGAACCACGTGTGAAGAATAATAAGTTTGATCAGCAAAGGAAGCCGTATCAAGTAGAAAGAGAAGCGACACAGACATTCTCATACTAAATCAAAGCTCAACTCACAGGTGCATTTACAAAAGCTCAAGTCGTTATCTTCAGAATGCAAAGATCAATGAATGGATCATCACAAGATCCGACACAAAATGCTGTTTGTCGACTACGGTCGCCGTCGTTCTGTCGCGAGCCGAGTTTGCCGTATCACTACGTTAGTTTCTACAGCTATCTCCAGGCCAGAACACTGTCTCTGTCCTTTAATGAAAACCAAATCAATCGTCTTTTCACGAAAAAAAGAAAAAAAGAAAGAAAGATTCTTAGTATTCCTTCACTTAAGCGTCGTAAAATAAACTGCTATTCCCTGAACAGTGTAAAATCAATAAGACCAAGGTATATATATATACCTGTCTATATTTCTGAGATGAGGTATTGTAACTATTTACATTGTTCGGAGCGTTCTCCTCATATTTATTGTCACATTGACGACGTTTCGGTCGTTGTACGCTCTGGCCTTCTTCAGATGCTATACGTTGGAATTTCGAACCGAACCCCATATTTCGTCCACTGGGGTAGATTGTTCCCAATTTCACTTGTTAGTAATTCAAATTTCCAAATTTTGTTTACGTCTGCTGTGGACAGGTATTGAACACACATGTCACTGGATTACTTCAACCAACGCCTTTATCCACTGGCAAGATCAGGACAATAGTCCGAACAATATAAATAGTGGAAGGTACGTACATAGATGCTGAAAAGAAGGGACTGTTCTTGTACTGCAAGATTCTCAATATGCTGGTGATGAATAACGATTCCATCACGAGCAGCCCAGCCATCTATATATATAAAACAGGATATCTGTTTCTTTGATACCTTTTCACTCGAGATCCATCAAACCAATTTTGACCAAACTTGGCAAATACATTGTACAATGTAAGAGATAGGTTCTTAGCGTAAAAAATCGATATTTTTTTAAAAAATCAATAATAGATAAAGCCAATCAGAAATCAATAAATTCAATTTTTTTTCCTCCGATTTCGCTCAAACTCGGTATGTAGGTTACTTACATCATGACGAGCTCAACGATACATCATTTTTTATTTCTACGACACAGCATTTAGCAAAAAACCGCAAAAAAAAACGAAAAAATTGATTTTAACATTTTAACACAAATCGATTTCAACACAAATCTTCAACTAATACCAAACTTAATTTAATTGTAGCCAGTAATAAGTTGATTGTCTAACAGTCATTTAACTTGATAATTGAGTCCACTCATATAGCGAAAAACTGCTTAAGATCGAAAATGGCAATTTTTACTGGTTTCTTTCTTATTTTCCGTTAATCTTTCAATCAGTTTTCATCAAACTTAACAGTTGCTCTAT